CACTCAAAGCAGCAGCTCCACAACCTCGCCACCCCCTGCTCCTTTCCACTGCTCCAAAACACACGGGAAAGATCTCAGGACTGTTCAGAGATGAGCCCGGTGCACCACTACGATGGTCTGACCCACCACCCACGGGTGTCCCTGGAAAGGCTCCTACTGACACCACTGGGGACCAAGTCAAACCTTCAGCACAGAAAGCTGAAGCAACTAAACAGTCATGAATAAAACCACACATGAACTCAGGATCAAAGCCATTCCACCCCAGAGCTGCATTAGGAGCGACTAGATGCCACTCTGTGTAAAAAATGAGATTGGATTAGGAGAAAACACTAGTCTGAAGAAGCTGTGGAGGGTCTGGACTGTAATTAGTTCCACATGCTTTGATCATACCTCGGGGCAAATCTGTTTTTGGATGTGGTAATAAATAGATTAAATGCGTCTTTGAAAAACAGTATCCCCTAGTGACTCTAATTGTCTGATCCTAGATTTTCAGGAACTTGGCAATCCCAATGAACCATGCAGAAATGGCCTTTTAAGAGCAACAGCTGTTGCAAAGAGGATAATGCTATGCAGAGAAAGCCAAGAGGGAGCTTCGATGCCATGGGATTGTTGCTGAGGCAAAGCAAGCAGGCCAGTTTAGGACAAATGTTTGCGATGGGCTAGAGAGGGGCTATGCTCAGCCTTTCCATATATGTACCACTGGCATCACAGAAACATCTACTGACCTTGTGATAAACAGCAATACTAATGGCAAGGCATCTGTATTGTCAGTATATAAACTGTGCCAGTCTACTCTGCCTTTTTTACCTCTTAAGGAGAAATTCTATCAAAGGGAGGTATTTAATAATTTTATATGGAAATAGGGGGGTGATTTAATTAGTGGAATCTTCCAAATTACAGACACTGGTAGACAGTCAGATCCAAAACTAGAAGTACTTCAGATGGACAGAAGTCTCTGGAGAACATGTCAGGAAGTTTCTACCATTGCAGGTAGTATGTATGTCCCACTGATGACCAGGAGTGACAAAGTCAAATGGATCTTCCATGAGGAGAGCTGGAAAAGTTACAGGAGAAATTGCAGGAGGTTGTTTATAAAGTAACAAGAACATACCTTGTATGGATCCCCTTTCCTTCCAAAAGAGAGGCTGAAATCATCTCATAAAGTGACACAGGAGAAATGCCATGGGTGAACAAAAAGCTCTATTATAATTCGGTAAATCTAAAGGTTTCATGACTTCAGATTAGGTTAATTAAACAACTTGGGAAAGCTCAGCTTAATTCAGGCAAAAACCACTGCTGGAGGCAATGTCTTGGAGCAGAGGAGACGACAATCTCCACCTGTGCTATTGACAGCTCTTGCAGAACATGAAGTCAGTCTTTAGACTGGAATAAATTGTCACTGGCTGGCTGGGGTACTTGTCTGAGGAACCAGGCAGGAACTTGGAAGGATCCAGTTAAGTGATTCATTTGGTAGCTTCAAAGGGGATGTCTATCTCTCCTTTTGAGTGAGACCAAGCAAGCTACTCAGAGATAAGTCGTGTCCACTTTTGTCTGCTCCCTGAACCCAGGCTCACAAAACTGCAGAACTGGTGTCTTGGGGCAGTGCCAAGCCTATACCCTGGGACCATATTCAGATTCTCCCAAGTCATAGAGCTCAAGCACAGTGCAGAGGGATGCTCTCAGGGATGAACCAAGCCATCTAATCAGCATATTTGTGAGCTTCAGCATGTGGGGAGCATGCTGACTTAATCCTCTGTGGTGTACCTGGTGCTGCTCAGGAGGTCATGCAGATATTCCTTAAGAAACCGGATCTTGGAATAGCTCGATCACAAAAGTGAAATGGCATTTTCTTAACTTCCAGGGCTGAACCAGAATTCAGCATCCAGCATTAACCACTTCCAGGATTTTCCTAGCTTGGAGTCTGAGCCATCTTCAGTCTTCCAATGCTTCTTCTAGAAAGGATTCAGGTTATAATAGCCAGGGGTATCTTTCATCCACTCCTGAAATGTCTCCAGCCAAAACCCCCAGGTTTCCTAATGTCTTTATTCAATGTAATTCAAGTGGAGTCATTACATGATATCATACAGTAATAGACCTGTAGCTTATGATGTGACTGTCAATGATACAGGAAGTTATAAACTTCAGGACAATTATTACAACATTAAAAACCAGGAAGAAGCCATTTGTGCTTTTACCCATCATGCTCCTTGCTTCCTTCCAGAAATGTGTTTGTTTAACATACACGGAGGCGACAATCTGCCAGTTTCTGCAGCACACACAGAAATGTCAATGGGAAAAGCCAACCAAAGCATCTTGAGTCTGTTGGTTGACACTTAAAAATCTAATGGCCTTGTGCAGAAACCACCTGTCAGACGATCCAAAACTGTCGCTCAAAACTGTCCCTCCTGGCTTCAATATCTATGGCTGGGATTTTCAGAAGAGCCTAAGTAAGTTAGATGCCCAACTTCCACCAAAAGTCAATGGGAGACAGAAATTCCCGTAGGGCCCAATGGAAATGGAGAGCATCCATGAAGATGCATCTTCTGTCATGTTCTGATCATGCTGATTTCTTCTGGTACAGCATTCAGACTAAGACAGTTACTTGCAGCAATCACTGGGCGATGCTGTTTAGTAGTGAGACCATATACCCAGGCTCTCATCAAGAAGCAGCAGCAGAGAAGAAAGTCTGGGGCCAAGCTGGAAGCATATACATTCATATTCTCCAAGTTGGATTTTTTTTTTTTTACCTGAGGTTTGAACCTGACTTCCTGAGAACAGCTCTGACTAGCACATGCAACTGCATCACCAAGGAGAAAACAGCCCCGGAAAGGGACATGGATCATCTGTCGATAAAACAACGCAGGTGCCTTCAACTCAAGGAAATTCTGAAAAGATAATGTCAACAGACAAAGGGAGCCATCTAAGAATGGTCTCACTACTATATTAATGGAGCTAGGCGATGCCAAGGCACGCCTTGCTGTAGTAAGAGACACTGATCCTTGAACAATGTTCCACTGAAACAGCTTTACTTCTGTTATAAAGACTCAGCCTAGTTTTGGCCATTTTAGTTGATGTATATAACTGGTCCGGTGCAGGGTGACAGTAGAGCACAGGCCTAATCTGAAACTCACTGAAGTCAATGGCAACCTTGGGGCCCAATCCTGTGACATTAATGGGAGCCAGGAATGCTCAGCACCAGGCTATCTGGTGCTCTATCTGAACACCGGAGAGGCATCCAGCTTCTGACTGGGTGGCTTCCAAACCACTCAGTGTGTTTTTACTGAATCACTTGTTACACCTAGAAACCAAACCATCGTTTGGCCTAGTTCTAAAAAAACAAGCACAGCACAGCAGGGTGAGGAGAGAGGAGCCCCAGGGAGCCTGCAGAGTGCTGGAAACCAGGACACAAGCAGCCCAGGGTAGCAAGAGGGGAAAGCATACACAGGGGACAGTCACCTCTGGTCTGATCTGGAAGCAAGACCTCAGGGTACTATGCATCAGCAGAGGTGACCACATACAACCCAGGAGCAACAAAACAAAAACCAGTATTGGTTTTGCAGATGCTCAGTCAAGCAAAGTTCTCAATGACAGGGATTTTAACATCCTGGGGTCTGAGCTACGAGGATCCATTGTCAAAACAACAGCACCTGAAGTCCTCTATTAACCATTTGCCTTGAGTTTTTAATGTTCTCAGAGGAGAGGGTAGCAACTCCAGAGGCTTTGGGGAAAGTGCATGTAGGTATAACTTCATTCATTAAATAGAAAGCTTGAAAACCCTGTCCTGTGTGTTTGCCATGAGCTGAAATAGAGGGCACAGGAAGGAATGGGAGTAAAATGCATTTACTGGGGGAAGAGATCATATGATATATTTTAAATATATCATATCAGTCAGAAAAGTGTTAAACATAACAAAAGATGACAACCTCTTATGTAATTTCACTAGGCTTTTCTCAAGGTAGAAGTCCATATTTTGACCACCTTTAGGTTGGGGTTGCAAAGAAGATATTGCAAGTAGCACCCCATCCCTCTCAAATCATCTGAAGGGTCAAGAGAAAAGCAATGACCCTAACTTTAATACCTTGGAAGCAACTCTGAACAGGTACATGCAACAGCACAGGAGAAAAAAAGGTTGCATTTCCTTAGGTTTTGTCTAACACTAAACATGCCTATTTTATTCCCACTTTCCTCCCAGGAAATCAGTTCAATGACTCATTTTTCAGAAATGACTCCACTGCTAACTATGACACTATGTCTATGTTATCCCATGTAACCATGACATCACTTCCTCTCTCAGATTTAATCTCTTTCCCATGTATTTCATCATTACCTTTGGTGCAGTGGCCCTAGCAATTTTCTTCTTTCTTGCATTTTAAAAAACAATCTTTTAAAAGAAGGATATTGCAATATTCTTCTCTCTCTCCTTTTATTACAAATCTGCCAAGTAGTGAGAAACACAGAAAAAGAGTTGCCTTCAATATTATCTGCAATGCTGGAGGTAGATAGCAAGGTTTCAGAGGTATAAAGTTTAAAAGAATGAGACATTCTTGTGCTTTGAAATAATACATAGGTTTGTGGTGAAAAAAACAGTTTCACAGAAAATGTGGGTTTATAAAGAAAGTGAGATGAGGTAAGAAGGGCAGCAAGAACTTCATTCAGAGGAGGCTTTTCCTTCATCCTCCGGCATGTCCTAGTGACAGAAAGCCATAAACCACTGTGTTGCCAGCTTATATGTGTCACTCTCTCACTTCCTCTTTTAAGGTTCACGACCCAAGTTGTCAGACTGTTACACAAATAAGAGGGACAGTGGAGGACACATGCAGGTTTCTTGCAAAGACTCTTGGACCCATGAGCCTTGGCACCCAGCGATGGAGGCAGCAGTCCAGAATGTCCTGAAATGGGAAACATTGCCAATAGATAAGACTCATTCATCTTCTGTCTCCCAGAATTCAACAGAGCTGCCTGAACAAAGTTGGCATCTGACCATCAGGGGATGCTGAAAAAATCATACAATTTGCCAAAGTTTAATAAATGTGGGGGCCTTTTTAAGTACCCAACTGTTTTTGAGCCTTTAGTCTTCACAACTTGGCACTTTTCTCTGCAAAAATTAAGCTAAAATTGACTTTTTTACAATGAAAACTGACAGTCAAGTGTAATCGCCTGACTCCAGGGGATTAGGCTTTAAGAAAAACACCAAATGTCGCAAGGCTCATGATTGAACCATAAGATATCAGCCATGAGCTCCAGCACAACATAATCCCAGCCAAAAGAACTGCTGGGCACCCAGAAATGTCAACCCAGAGGCAGTGTGCCTTTTGGGGAAAATCAGCTGCTCTACCTGGCTAGAGAGGCATTAGCACAATGATCTGTAGGAAGGTGTAATAGTTAGAGCTTTGCTAATAGCAAGAGTTTTGCACGCTGATTTTATAGTAGGCTGGTGAAGCAGCACGTAGCTTCTTGCCCTGTGAGCGTAACTAAACGATGAACCTAGATAGTAGAATGTTGTAATACAGTAGAACGTAATAAACTCTAAGTGCGTTAGATTACGATGTATTTCTAAATTTTTAGTTTAAGATAACTAAATTTCTAGCTCGAGATAACGTTATTTATTCTAGATTATATAAACTGTACATTTTTAAGTTATGATGGGTTTTTTAGCTTTGGCAAAAGTTTTGACTTGCACGGAGCTCCAGTGCAAGCTATCGCATCTCTGAGATTGAGACACTCTGGGGCCAAGAGAACTATGCGGGGTGGTGGCTGCCGCCTAAAGCCGACGTGAGGTGACCATCTTCTCTGCTCTGTTCTATCGCCTGCCTCTGCGAGTATCCTTAAATAGAATCCTAGAAGTAGGGTGGGAAGGGACTTTGTAGATCTTCAAGTCCGACTCCCTGCCTGGGCAGGAGGAAAACTGGGCTCAAATGATCCCAGCCAGGTAGGCATCAAGCCTCTTCTTAAAGACCCCCAGGGTAGGAGCCAGCACCACCTCCCTTGGAAGTTGGTTCCAGATCCTAGCCGCCCTGACTGTGAAGTAGTCCCTACGGATGTCTAATCTAAACCGACTCTCCAACAACTTGGGGCCGTTATTCCTTGTTATCCCGGGGGGCGCTAGGGGAAACAAGGTCTCCCCCAAACCCTCTGGTCCCCCCTAGTGAGTTTATAGATGGTCACCAGATCCCCCCTCAGCCTTCTCTTGTGAAGGCTGAACAGGTTCAGGTCCCGTAGCCTCTCATTGTAGGGTCTGCTCTGCTGTCCCCAGATCATGCGGGTGGCCCTCCTCTGGACCCTCTCCATGTTGTCCACATCCCTCGTGAAGTGGGGCGCCCAGAACTGGACACAGTACTCCAGCTGTGGCCTGACCAGTGTTACGTAAGAGGGGGAGGATCACCTCCTTGGCCCTACTTGAGATGCACCTGTGGATGCACGATAAGGTCCAGTTAGCCCTGCCGACCATGACCTCGCATTGTCGGCCCATGTTCATCTTGGAGTCAATAATGACTCCAAGATCCCTTTCTGCCTCCATGCTCTCAAGAAGAGAGTTTCCCATCTTATAAGTGTGCTGCTGGTTACTACTGCCCAAGTGCAGCACCCTGCACTTGTCCGTATTGAAATGCATCCTGTTTTTGTTAGCCCACCCCTACAACCTATCCAGGTCTTGCTGCAGTCTTTCCCTCCCTGCTAGCGTGCCCACCTCACCCCAGATTTTGGTATCATCAGCAAATTTAAACAGGTTGCTTTTCACCCCATTGTCCAAATCGTTGATAAAGAAATAAAACTTTGCAAGAGTGAAAACAACCGTGAGTACATCCTTTCAGAGTTTCTCTCTGGGTCTTCAAACTCGGCTCTCTTCTCTACCACCCTGAAAGTCCCCTTCATGCACCTGGACTGCTGGGAGTCCCTGCAAGCTGCTGGGATGGTGTCATTCCCCCCGTTGAATATCCCACTGGCTTCCCCTTGCTTTCCCCATGCAGCTTAGCCTCTCGTCTTAGTCTCCAGGGCTCTGCGTCCTTTGCTTTCCCTCCTCAGCTCTTCGCTCTTCCCATGACTCCTGCCCGCTCTCAAAGCCTGTGGAGCTGGGTTGGACTTGCCCTGAAACAAGCCCTGTGACAAGCTGGCACCTGCAGAGAGCACCTGCCAGGACAGGCAGACAAAACCCTCCAAGGCCAGAATCCCTCTTAGCACTTCACTCCCTTGGGCTGGGTTGGGCTGGCTCAGAGATGGGGCCAACGATAGCCCCTCACTGTTGAGGCTGCTTACCGAGCACCCTGTAGCCCATCCCCTTCACATCGGCTCCGGCTGCCCACAGCATCCCCCTGGCACTCCACGCAGACTCGCCGCTCCCTCAGCAGATGGCTGCTCCAGAAGTGCAGACGGCAGGCAGCTCCCACCTGCTTGAGGCGAAAATAGACACAGTAGCTGGAGAGAGAGGGAGACATAATGGATTAGGTGGGACACACCAACACCCCTGTGAAGGGGGTTTCTGCTTCTGCAGGCCTAGATGTGGAAAAGGAAGACCAGCATGGGGTGGAAAAATGCATTTGCCAAAGGGCACGGTTGACACTCTTGAACCTGTCTCTGGCACCCAAGAGATCCACCAGCTTTGCACCTACGGCTCCAATACCCCTCAGGGCCCCAGGGGCAAAATTACCAGAGGAAAGATATTCTCACAGCAAGCAAAGTTTTGATATTGGTAGCAAGATGGTTCCAGTCTTGCCAGTGATGGAGGAATCTCAGGGGACAGGTTAGTCACCTGAATCCCACTGCCCCTTCTGAACCCCACCACAAATCCCAGCCCAGGCAACCTCAGTTCCACCCTAGAGGACTCCCATCCTCTCCCATTAATGGAGGTGGTCTGATCCCTGCTGCAAACCAGGCCTTTCCTGAGCAAAAAACAGCAGATGTCCTGGACGTGAAAGACAGTTCTGTCCTTGAACTGTATCTGGCGTGACCCCCTGCTACAACACACCACTCAGTCACACTGGTGACACCAAACTACCACGACGGGATGGAAGAACCTCCATCTCTCTTCTACTAAGGACAAGGTGATATTGCAGCCAGCCCAGGACAACACAGGTCATGTCTATGCTGCCATGGGCATGGGTAGTTAGCTCAGCCTTGGTGCTCAGTGCAAGTGAGCAGCCAGGGTAGTTACACATTTTCAGGTGGGCTTCACAACCTGTCTTAAGCACCCTGCTAGCAGTGCCCAAGCTAGCTGGCATAAAGCAAGCTTGTCTGTGCCAACCCAAGCAGAAATAACAGGAGCAGAGACATTACCTCTTCTCCTCAGAAGAAGGGGGAGCAGGCCCAGAGGAGCTGACTGTCTCCCCCAGGTCCTGTAAATCTGGTCTCTGAAACAGGGAAAAGGCTAATGCAGCATATAGCCCCCAGCAGACAGCTTTTGTATGTGACATGGGTCTGCAGAGATGCTGGCTTGGACTATCCACTGCCCCTGTTTATAAGTAACAGTTTCAGCCAAGCTCCCGGCAGGGGAAGACAATGTGGAAAACAACTATGTAGAGATACAACTCTCCCCATGGGGATTCGTTATCCCAGGCCTCTTATTTGGGTCCGGATCAGTTTTGTGGTTTTCCTGTTTACATGAGAATCCCAAGCAGAGCCCTCTGATGCTGAGCAGAGGCTGCCAAAGGCCTGACGCTCTTGGTGCACTGCCCACCAGCACACTCAGGAGAGGTGGCCTTGTTGGAGCAGAGCCCAGTGAGCCCGACTCCCCAGCCCAGACAAGGGCCCCAGCCACTATGCAATAGAGTCGCTACCTCCATTCTGGTGAATGTTTCATTGGTTATGCAAAGTGGGAGAGCTGCAGCATGAGAGCTGGACAGAGACCTGCCCCCAAATACCCTAGAGTTCACTGGTACCCTGGAGTGGAAGCCAGGCTTCAAGTCTCTGCTCCAAAGCAGGCAGGGGATGGGTATGGACAAACATCTCCCATGTCCCGGGCAAATTCCCCAACAGCTGGGTATAAGAGGCAGCAGCACAATCCTCACCACCAGTCCTGAGACAAAGGACTGAGCTGGGAAGGGAGCACAATGCCCGAGGAGGGGACATGGGTATGAATTCTGGCTGAGATCGGTGTCTTCCTTCAGCCTGAACATAGGTATCAAACTACCCTTGAGGGACTGGGCCTCAGCCACCCCACTTCTCAGTATTTCTTACTGACTAGCGTAGGTGGCTCAGTGCATTGGTTTTTGTGAATCCCATTCTGAGGTGCCCTGCTCCCCCCATGCAGAGTATGGGGAGTCCAGGCACATAACTTGGGGCTGTGAATCCAGCCAGGCCGCAGGGTGGATGAGCATTGGGCACAGGAATGAATGCTGAGCCCAAGTTCGGGTGAGTCCAGCCCCCATGGCATCTCCACTTCGCCAGGTAGGAGCAATAGAGTCCCTGGGATGCTGGGAGGATCAGTGAGTTAATCTGCAGGTCATTTGAGGCTAGATGACGAAAGATGCAGGCATGCCAGATGCCTACTCTTAAGCATCCTAAAAACTGAGTATTGTTGTCCCCCAGTTTCATAGCAGGGGACCGGGCTTGATGGCTGAGCAGGTCCTCTGCAGTCTGCATTCCTGTTCCTGCTCCAAGGGGAGGTGTCTGCACATCTGCTGAAGGGCAAAGTCCATCCTTCAAGCCTCTTTCTCCTCCCTGAGGGTCTGAAAGTGAGCCCAGCTGCTTTCCCTGTGCAAGGCAATGGCACAAGGCACCAAGAGAAGAGCCAAGTCATGGGCCAGGAGCACTGCCAGCCCCTTCTCAGCACACAGCCAGCACACAGCCCACTCTGAATTGTCATACAAGCCTCTTTTTGCTGAGGAGGCCTGGGCAGGGGTAAAGCACAGGCTAACACTGGGCTGGCCCTGATAGCACCTGCAGACTTACCCCAGAGGGGAGTTTGGCCCATGATCCCAGTGAATGGGAACCTTGGTACCTGAATATAAAGTATCCACAGTGAGGCAAGGGGATAGAAGGAGATTCTGTTGGGAGGCTCCATGACAAACTGAGACACGGCCTCGTGGCATCCAAGCTGGGGTTACGCAGTGGAGTCCCTACTGCACCTAGCAGGGTGTTATCTGTTCTTCATGCATATCAGGATCCCCTGGCACCTTTCTAAGGGCATCTCTGCCCTTATATCCTTGGTGGGAATTCCATCCGACAACCTGCCAGGACTGGCCGGGGGGCTGCTGTATTCCACCCCAACTGGGGCTGCATTTCAGGGGGTGCTGCATCCCCTTTCTGCAGCCAGCAGGCTCTCCAACTGCAGTGGAAGCCACACGGGCAGGACTCTAAGGATAATGATCTGGAAATCCCCCACAGCTGCATGTCTTTGGCCATCCTTCCTGCTGGGGAGGGTGCTGAGGGTGACTCTGGCTTTTGGATCCTGTCAAGGAAGGAGCCTGGCAGTACCATGCCTGCTGGCACCTTGGTGCAGTCCTTCATTCCCCTGAGAGGCTTGAACTGAGCAGCCTCCTAGCAGGGACAGCAGAACTTTGGTTCAGAGAGGAATGAAAACATCTGTGAGCACAACAGGGCCTCAGACACTTCCCCTTGGGCCTTCACACTCCTCCTCCACATTCAGCTGATTACATCTTTTCTCACTGCCTGCAGAGGCTGAGCCAGCTAGGGAAGAATGCACAGACCCTGGGGCATTCCCCATGCCCTACAGAATAGCCATGACCTCAGCAGCTGGCCTAGCCTACCCAAACATACACCGGCCACGCTAGATGGGGCAGATGGAAAATCAAATGTACGGAGAGGAACAAGTGTTAGCAAAGCCCCTGAAATACCACCTGTCTCCAGTGAGCTGAGGATCTGGGTGCCTGCATTTCAAAGCAGGGTTTCCTATGTGCGGGAGTATGTCAGTTCAGCCCAGCAAAATCCTGGCTTGCACCTGTTTCTTCTAGTTCCCTTGTTGCCTTGTGTCTAATACTCTTCCCCAAAATACCTACCGCTTGCCAAAAGATTCTGGGCCTTTGGTCTACCTCAGGACAGCAACTGTCAAGTTCTTATGTAAAACGCAGCCCTTCATGTCCTGGGAGGACACTAACAGTCCTGGGGACTAATTAACTGGCTCACAAGGGGCTCAGCAGTTGCAAAGGGAGGTTTAGAACTAGCTATGATGGTCCCAAGCACAGCTCAGAGCCAGCAGAGGGGGAAGAAGCCCATGAAGGCAATCTGGCTTGTCTCCCTGCTAGCACTAGATAAACTCCCCCCACCCTCTGCAAAGGGCATTCAGAATAAAAAGAAGAGTCAACCACACCAGCTTGCAGAGAGGGACTCAATCCTTTTGCTTTCCAAGATTCACATGCATATCCAGCAGAGTGCCTCTGGCCATACCTGACCACCCTCTGCGCCAGACCCTCAACTGGTATAGATCAGCACTGATTAGGTACTGTCTACACCAGCTGGGGACCTAGCCCACAAAGCTCCTACTCCTGTGGGGGTTAGAAGCTGGAGGTGGCCCCTCTCTAATTTGCAGAGCAGCTGGTTTGAATGCATGAAGGGGGGTGCTGGGGCCTGCCTCGTCCTGGCTTTCCAGCAGTCACGTCTACAGAGCTCAGCCTGCCGTGCTCCCCAGCCCTGGAGCTGTTCCCCATGTGCCGTGGCACATTTGGAGCACTCTGAAGCCAGCATGCAAATGGTCTGGCTTAGCTCACATCACATGTGCTTCCAGGCAGCCTTCTGAGTTGCCAGGCATTTCCTAATGAAGGGCAGATGTGGTCTGAGGAACAACATGCGTAAGCATGAGGCTTCCCGGCTGTGACTATTTGTTTGTGACCGAGCATCTCTCCCAAGCTTCCAGGGAGCCTGGCATGGCCTTCAGACGACGGCACGTGCCGTGAGGCACTAGATGGCTGACTGTATTTGCTGGTTGACAACACTGCTCAGCTGTATCAGAGAGTCTGGTTCACTAAATGGTTTTCCCTCCTCCATGTGCAGTCTCTGTACTGGGGAAAATTAAGGTAGCTAGCTACAAAGGGACCAGGGGGTCCCAAATCTCACCACCTCTTTCATGTAGGCGATAGAGGTATATCAGCCACTGGGCCAGCTTGTACACAGCTCTGCCTTGCATCTCATCCCAGCCAAGCCACATCCTTCCCAAGACAGCTCTTCTCTTCTCCCTGGCACAACACCCCATGCTAGACCTGATCTTTGCTATTCCTGGAATATTTCAAGGCAAATCTCCATCTCCTGGAAACTGTTTGACCTCTGCAGTTGCTTAGATGAGGCTTGGATGTCTTGATTTGCCAAAATTAATCACTTATCAATCTCAAGGACATTGCACCAGCACCTCAACCAAAACACATCTTCACAGACCCACTTCCAGCCAGCTAGCCCATCCATCACGGCAAAGTGAAGGGGCAGCTACTCAGACCTCAGGGACTGCTGCTCTCTAGCATAAACCGTGTTTCAGGCCCGTTCCTGTTGGGATCTGAGTGCTCCCAACCTTTCCAGAGCTGGCCCTCACCCCAGGCCCTTCTCTCTGCTTCAGTCCAAACCCAATCCCTGATTACAAACACCCTGCAACACTTGGTGATCCAAACTCAGGTTGGCCTCTAGTAGGGATCTAACCCAGCTGACTTCCTGCCCCTTGGGCAGGGGGCTGGACCCAATGATCTCGCAAGGTCCCTTCCAGCCCTAATATCTGAAATCTATGAACAGACAATTATAGTTTATGTTTGCAGTGTCTTCTTGGGCTGTCACAAAAGAACAGATTGCAGCAGGCAGGATCACTCCTGCCCTCTCCCTTCTGCTAAGAGGCTTCCCCTTCCACCCCCAGCCTCCCTCTTCCCATTCATCCATTCCCCGCTATAAAAGACTTCCCAGTTCTTCTCAGCTTCCCTTTGCCCAGGTGCTGTCTCATCTAGCTACTGGACCAGCACAAGAGAGGCCCCCCCCGGCATCCAGAGCTCAGAAGGCCTCGCAGCTCTGCAACAAAGGAACCAAGAAGACGGTAACAAGGTGTGACATAATTAAGGTGCATGGAGGTTTCCCTCCCACTCGCTGTTCTCAGCACGAGGACAGTACAATGGTCAGACGGACTGGCTCTTTTTGTTTACTGTCATCAGTTTAAACAGGCTCCCTTCCATGGGCGACTGGTGCCTCCTGAGTCTGGGGGGGCACCCGCAGGCACTGCCATTGCCACATGGCCCAAACCCTGATGCAAACTGCAAGCAACAAGTGACTCAGTCAATGTGTCACTCTGCAAGGGGAGCTGCCAGGTCAGTGGAGTTATGCTTTACCTCCCAGCCAGTGGACACTGCTTGGATCCAGCCAGCCGCCGAGATCAGTAATGGCTGGGGGGGGGAAGAAAGTAATTCTTCTCTTCCACCCACTGAAGATTGCTTGTTCCCTAATGATCCTACTTAACATTCCTGGCTCCATTGGCTGAAGCCAGCAGTTAAGGAGAGAGTTGTCAGGGTGGCAAGGAAGAAAGCCAAGATGAAAGGATTCAGTGAGCAGCCCCCAAGTGCTCCAAGACCCCCTCTCACTGGGAAAGCGATACACCATGCTAAGAGCAGTTAATTAAAGAGGGGTAATGCAATGAAGGTGGGAAAGGGGAATACAAGACTTGACCCCGACTAATTAGATTACATCACTACCACTGATGCTCACCAGCCTTCTAGTGCTACAGACCCTTCTGCTTCAGTAACAAGGAGAAATGCAAAGAGACTCAAGCAGTGAGAATGCAAAGGGCATCGTGAGACCTTGATACTGCAGCTCAGGAAGACATCTGAAGTGACCTGTAAGGGGCTGCCAAGAGCTCTGATGGAAGGAAGGAAGAAAGGATCTGGAAGCATGCACATATGGTCTGTTCTAACCCACGGTGAGGTAGCCACAGCATAGATTGCTTAGTCCAGCCTCTATCAGTTTGTCCATCTACTGTGGGCAGCTCAAGTTAGGCACAGCCACAATCAGTGGCTTGGTCTGAGCCTACCCAAAAGCAGCCTCTGCTCTCACTAACTTTATTAAAGGCTGTGGGTTGTTCAGCACTTCAAAAAACCACACCAGGACCCTGGTCTAACAAAGCACTCGGGCATCTGCCTAAATCTGAGGCAGTGACTGGTCTAACCAAAATCAACAGGAATTAGGCCCTGTTAGGGCAGCTTCTTATATTTTATGCTTTAAAGTTGCACCTGTTTATAGAGTGGTAAATTACAGCGTTGTTTAAAGTTTTCTTTATATTCAGCCTAAAGTTCTGTATAGCCTCATTGTTATCTGAACTTTTCATTTTGCCGGTGTCTGCAATATCAGCTGACCTTGTTTCTTGCAAGCAGCTTATGGCCTTGAGTTTGCTTGCATGATGTTTCTTTCCTTTTTCTATCACTGTGAGAAGTTTTTCTAACACAACATAGTAATAGGTTTGTTACTAGCTCAAATTAACTGAACTTGGCACTAATCTGCTGAATCAGAGGGATGAAATGATTGGATATGTTAATGAAAGGTGATAAAGGAGACCAGTGGACAAAAGTAAAACACCAGAAAAAGGCCAAATTAAGAGGTGTGCTTGTAATGGGATGCTGAACAAAGGAATATGCTGACAGGATAAAATATGAACAATATGCTGACAGCAGATAGACCAATCCAAAAGCAAGGAGTCATCAAAGGGGTCAAATTAAAGAAAAGCATAAAAGAGGGAAGCAAGAAAGTTAAGTGTTGTCATTGTCATCATCGTTTACATCATGAATCCAGCTTTCAACACCTGTCTGGATCATCCCAGTCAACGATGCACCCTTTGCTTCAGGAACTGAGTGGCCGTCCTTTCTATGAGGCAAAGTAACATCTGGGATTGGGTGAGATCATTGTACTAAGTGTTTTTTCTCTCTCTCTGACTATAGAAACTGCTGAGATAATACTTAACTAATAAAGTTAGACTTTGATTTTAGGACACTGAGTTGTCTGTGTTCATATTTCATGTTCCATTTAAGAGTTAATTGTGCTTTAACGATCCCTAAGCACTATCTGCTGGTCAGTTGTGCAAACAGCCCATGTGGAAGCACTTTGCTTGGTAAAAAGTCCTCAACTGGCTCCCTGTGCCTCTCTAATGGCACACAAGGGGCACAAGATGTCAACTCCCTTGTCCCCACTGTGCAATACAGGCTGTCTCTGAGACCATCCCTCAGCAGAGAGAGACTTTTAGTTTAACATCAGGAGGGTGCATTTTTCCCACCATGTCCCTCACAGGAGGGAGAAGGGGAGCTGCTAACACCTTCCCCATGGTGTGAGAGAGCCCCTATTTCATGCAGCTGAGAGTGGTTAGGTCAGCTGTGCTGTCCTAGGGCCAAGGCAGGAGTGACACCTGTTACACACTTGTTAGCCCATTGCCCAGGCAGCTTTTTACATGTTTGAGAGAAGCACAAGATTCAGATATTTCTCCCTGGCGGGGAATGTCTCAGGAGGGTTTCCGTGGCCCTCATTGTTTTATCCTCTGTGCAGGAGGTCAAGCTTTTTGTGGCTGCAACGAGATCCTTCCACCAGCTGGCTGGGGTCTATAAGGGAGCTGGCACGCGGAGGCCCACCGGAGCCAGCAGCACGTGACGGGGAGAAGAGCATGGACAAGAGGGACCGAGCGCGAGCTGTGAGCACTTCAGTCGCTCACGAATCTCGCCTACCTTGGCTGCTTCTCCTTCATCAGCATGTGAGGTCTTCTCCAGGGGTCCTTGAAGTCCCTTTTGTAGGAATCAGGCAAAATCTTAGCCACCTCTGTCAGAAAAAAACAGCAAAGGCAAGAAATTAAGAAATTCAACAGCAGGGAACGTCACTCACCTGGAGACACAGAAAGGAGCTGATTTGAGCAGAGGGTGCCTGTGAACCAAAGGTCCCACCAAGGCTGGGCGACAGTGAGGGACACAGACCAGGAGAGAAAGCCAAACATACCTGTGGCTGGGCTAGAAATAGTAATGGTGACACTGGGCCTGATCCAGAGCCCAGAGATCCCAGTGGGAGCTTTTTCCATGACCTGAGTTTGGATCTGGCCCCTTTTCATTATTAATAATGCCTCCCGGCATAAGAACAAGCTGCTATTTGCAGCCAAGAATCACAGAACATTGTACAAGGCGGGATGTCGGGAAACAGAGGAGGGGAAAGAACGAGCAACTGGCCTAGTGTCGCACAACCAATCGGTGGCAGGGCCCAGACTCGCATCCAGTGCTTGCGACTCCAACTCCTGTTCTGACAATTAATGACTATTTCTCAGCCAACCAGTAGGAAGAGACTGATCTCGGCAGTGGTCGTTCCAGAAACAGTAGGCTGCTGCTCAAACATGAGTCCATTAACCTCAGTGTAAATAGGGTAATAAGGTGCTTCCGTGTATTTATGCAACACTGAAACAAAGACTGGATTGACTTCAGCAGAACCCACTTTCCCCATATTCCTGATAGGGGTGATCACAGTCATTCCTATGGCAATGTCCAACAGGATAGGAGATAAACAGGATTGTAACGGGCTCAGGTAAAACTCTGAACTACATGCACTTGTATGCACAGCTGAAAGGGGTGGGGTGTGTTTGTAAAGATGAGCGTGGACTTCGGCCAGATTGGGACTAATTCAGTTTATCATTGCAATCTTTAACTGTAGCCCACAAATTCTTTAAAGGTGTTTAAGCAGAAAAAAAGATAAGGTGAAGGCTTTGATAAAACCTACAGAGGTGTAGGTTGTAGCCGTGCTGGTCTAAGGACATAGGCAGACAAGGTTCTTTGGGTGAATCCGATATCTTTTATTAGACCAACTTAAATAGCTGGAAAAAAATTTTTAGCAAGCTTTCAGGTTTAAAACCCCTTCATCAGGCTGAGCTTCTTTGCTATTCATTCCATCCAGGAAGAGCACACGCCAACTGCAGAGACTTCCTCAGCCTGACCGAGGGTTTTTAAATCCGAAAGCTTGCTAAAAATTTTTTTCCAACTATTTAAATTGGTCTAATAAAAGATATCGAACTCACCCAAAGAACCTTGTCTGCCTTGATAAAACCTAGGTTTTTTGCTAAAAATCCAGTCATCTTTAGCTTTATAATGCATCATGCAGGAAAAGTAACAGCACATTGCAAGGTGTCAATGATCTCACAGGTCCTTCAACATCATAGGAACCACTGGACCATTGAACCAGCCCCTGCTGTTGCAGGCAACACCTCATCTCTTCCATGAACATGTCTAGATTCATCTTAAAAGCAGTTCAGCCTTTCACTCCTGACTCCATCAGAACCTGTTGAGGCTGTATGTGGGGCTCAGCACCTCAGAGCTACCCATCTACACCACAGTTACATTTCAGGTGGGGATCCTAGTTATGACACGATTTCAATTTGCAGTGTAGACAAGACCAAAAAGTAAATGGAGCTCTCTGAGAGGGAGTGAGGCCTCATTTACTGCTAGTTTATCTGTCTCGGTGGACAAATCACTAGGCTGTAACTAAATAGGCCTGGTTCTAGTCCCAGCTCTGCCCCTGGCCTGCTGGGTGACAGTAGCCCAGTCACTTCCCTACTCTGTGTTCCCCATCTGACCTCCTTTGTGGAGCACTTTGTGACCTACCAGGAAAAAAAGTATTATATAACAGCAAGGCACCAACCACATGGCCTCTTGGGTCAAATTGCATTCATTAACACCCTCGTAACCAGGGTCAGGGAGCTCGCTTTCTGTGTAGTAAGTGCCTTGACTCATCTGTCATTGGCAGCATGGGCAGGCCACTTGCTACCATTCTCCAGCTCTGTTTTAAAATGGTTTTGCTTCCCACCATGGCCAGGCAAGCTGTGCTCAACCCCTGTGCCAACAGAGACCATTTCTTGCCCCACAATAAAAGCAGTTTCCACTCTCTGCTGCAGCCCCAGCGGGCAGATGGGGCCTTTGCCATGTCTCCAGTACAAACACAGAGCCGGGATCACTCAGCAGATGGAGAAAGCATTCTAACAAGGTCTTTGCTGTGGAAAGAATTGTGTCAGGCACCCTCCATATGTAGTGCTTTATTGGTGGGGGTAGAAGAGCTTGGGACCAATTCTTCCCAGGCCTGGAGGACTGCTTTTGACAGCTTGCCTGAGCCACAGCCAGGATTTCCAACAAGACCGAAAGCAAGTCAGGCAGCCATATCCTTGGGGGCAGGGGAATATCCCCCAAGTGTTCTGCTTTACCTTTAGCTGTATCACATACGGGGCTATCTCCAAAGCACCCTCGCCGCTGCTTCAGGTCTGGACAGGGGGTCCCTCCATTTCGAGGTGGCACTGTGACTTGCCGTGTTCGGTCTTTGCTGCCAACCCCGCACAGGGAGCTGCATTTACTCCAGGGACCCCAGGGACCCACCATGCAGTCGATGACAGCTGCTGAAAAATGAGATAATGTTGGGATGTGGGGAGAGGAAACAGGAAATGGAGCAGGGAAGGAAAAAGAGTCAGATGGAGGGAAAGAAGGTGAGCGATGAGGAGCAGATCAAATAGGTTTTGGGGGAAGAGAAGAAAACAGCTTAAAGAAGGTGTTATGTATGTAGGAATGAGAGAATAGCGAGAGAAAGGGAGATGTGAAAGGAGGCAGAAAAAGAAAAAGGAAGGAAGGAAGGAAGAACAGAATGGCAGCAAAAGCTGACAAAACATTTCCCACCATCTCTGAGAAAAAGAAAAAGGAAGGAAGGAAGGAAGGAACAGAATGGCAACAAAAGCTGACAAAACATTTCCCACCATCTCTCTAACTGAGTGTAAGGGCCTTGCCTTCCTCTCCACACACTCAATTAGCAGCTTGTTTCTGAATCAGACAGCGCCGTCCGGAGAGATAGCAGCTAAAACCCAGAGGATTTAGAGGAGGCCAAACAGCCCAGAAAACCCAGTCAATTAATAAAGCCTCCTGTCTCCACTGGCAAAACATTCCAGCTTTCCTTCCTTCTGACTCACTGCATCCCTCCCTCTCCCCAGGTCTCTCCCGCGCTCTCGGACAGTTCCCCTTGCACTCACGCCTCCTGCCCAGAATTCCCATCACGTTCGGCAGGGGGAGTAGCCTTTGCCAGCGGAGACCCCCTCCCCTGCTGCAGTGCACCGTGAAGTGGAAATCCAGGGAACATCTCCCTCCCAGCCACAGTGTGCAGCGCATTACAGCAGCAGGGCTTGTTGAATAGCCCTGGTCAGCTGGAGGGGAGGGAAGGGGAAGGGGCATATGACCCATCATATGTCACAGACCTGTCAGCAGTGCCCATGGCAGCAGGAAGACGGCAGAACTGGATATCCAGAGGGAGTTGCAAACAATGCAGCAAAGGCCATGTACCAATCACCAATAAGTACACCAGCTGTTTCTATAGGAAAATGAATGTGCTCTCCAGTACCTGAACTCTCCAAATGCAGATGGTTTATGGGAAAGGGGGAAGGTTTTAAAAGGGTCTTGCCAATACATGCATTTTACCATCAATCTCATGTGACTTTGTATTTTTATTAAAGCCCCAGCTCCTGTAGTCATGTGATTGCACCAAGATCTCAGTTCATGTGGGGCTTTTTCTTTAAAAGAAAAAAAAAAAGACAGAAAAATAAAGAAGCAGGGCCCTGGTCCTTATAAGTGCAAGGAAAAGCTTGAAAACAGGCACCCTACAAAATACAACACTAGAAGGCAAGTAAAGAGAAATGATATTTTTAAACCCCTGCTTTTTTAAGTTAATTTAACATAATTTTGGATAATTGGCAATACTAATTTTAGGAAGAGAGATAATAGGCCAAATACAAAGTTGCTTTACTCCAATTTTTCCTGTAGAGGCAGCTAAATTATACTGGTATCAAACTGTAGTGGTAATATTTTTAATGACTGTTGTTGTTGTTAAATAACTTGTTTTATAACTATTAGTTTATTAAATACTCCCAGGCTGATTCTCTACTGGTGTCATTGGATGCAGCTCCTCTGATTTCAGTTGAGCCAAGTCCATTGACAGCAGACGAGAATTTCTCTAAATATGCAAAGAAATGTAAATTGACCAACGGCAGGTCATTTAGATAGTTCATAGACGCTGCAGCCTGACATTGGTATGAGGCAGGTAAAGAGGTTCATGTTGTGCTGACAACAAGCTGACTGTCAAAGACTCATGCCTGTACTGAGTCCAACAGCAAAAGACAGCCACCCCATCTCAAATAGTAGCAAGGATATTGTACTGAGCAAGCAGCAAGTCAAAGTGCTGGCTGCAATGTCAAACACTGAAGAGGGGATGAAATAATTAGGAGTGGATCTCTGAGGACTCTGTGAACACCGTCAGTTTCCCTTTTTCTAAAAGAATAATCAGGCACCTATAGGATTGCACAAAGTATTTGGGATGGATGTATAAATATAACCAACAGGTAAATGGACCAGATTATCTGATTTTAATAGGATGCAGGGAAATCAGAACATAATATTCCTGATCCTATATTACAAAATCAGATTAACTAAAATCCCATATATGCATCCATTCATGCCAATACAGGATAACGGCAACTGCTTAAAGACCATAATGAGATATCAGAAGATTAGCCATAGGAAAGAGCTAGAATTCACTGGCTCTCTTCCAGCATCTCTCTCTTTCCACCGGCACTTAAAACCTGTTTGCTAAAGCCTTACACAAGAATTTGGAGACATGAACTCACCTCAGAGTCAGCCCACTGTTTAACAGCTGGCCAAGCTGATTCAAAGTCATGAAAAGCTCTTGGCATGTTTACCTACAAAACTCTTGGACTTTACCTTCAATATGAAAGTTTCAAAATGAGATTTTTCTACCTGCTCATGCAACTCTAAAGCTCAGTTCAAACTAACCTGGAATTAGCTGCATGGACTTAATTTTACATAAACGAAGGCAAGCCCTTTTGGATATACGGCTGCTGTGAAGTGTGTTCCTCAAGAAACATAGGGAATTAAAACCCATTTGGGTTGCATGTCAGGCTATCACAAGGGTATCAAGACTGATGATACTGCCTCAGACCCTGGTGGTCACACTACGTGCTATGTTAGAGATGACATAAAATACGCAAATTGGGCTAAATACTTCATCACAAGGACATGAAAAAGGAAGGAAAAAAAAGAGGCTCGAGAGCATAGAGGCCTAGTGGCACAGATGGGGTACCCTGGCTTCTATTCATGACTCAGCTGCTACTGCGGCATGCAACTTTGTGTAGGCTGTCAGGCCACTGGGTATAAAACCAAATGAAACCTGTATCTAAAACAGACCAGCTACTCAATGCTGGAAAAGCAAATGTGATGCTGAAGTGATATCAAGTCAGCAGATTGGATCCTTAGGTCGTGTAAGTATGTGTACCACCATTATAGCCAATTTAGGCTGGCTGAGAAACTTGCCCATAATATTTTGAGGTGTTAGCATAGCTGTAAAACCTTCTTGCAAAGAGCTTATGGCTGAACACACAGTCCTGGAGAAACAGGCCATGAAGACAACACACTTCTTGCCTGTGGGAGATGGAGCCCATCCCGGGACAGGCCACTGAAGCTGTGGGCAGACCTGTTAGTAGGGTGGCTATTTGTCCGGTTTTATAGAGGGCAGCCTGGTTTTCTGGCCCTCTGTCCTCTATTGATATTAAACTGGATGCCTTTATGTCCTCTATTTTTCACCGCTGCCGACACCGCTGCAGCTGCCTGCGGAAGCTCCCCACTCGCCGCCACCATGCCCCCGCCGCCGTCACCGGTGCGAGCTCGCCATGCCCCCCAGCCTCGGGAGGCACACGATATTCATGGTGGTGGGGACAGCTGCACTAAATGCAACTGTCCTCTATTCTTGAGGTACCTTGATGGCCACCCTACCTGTCACCTCAGTAAATTCGGCTGCTTGTCAGATGCTGAGAGTAAGGAGCTCTGTGCAACACAAAGGCCAGTCCCCGACAGAAGTAAAGGGAGCTCCTGTCCCCAGCACGCTTGGAGCTTTCTGACACTTGCACGTTTGCTTCTTGAACACCATGTAATGGGATTTGCCCGTTTCACAGCATGCACAGTCCTTCCCACCCATTTCCATGTCAAGGGCAGAGGCAGGGGGATGCTGGGGGAGGAGGGGATATTTCTCCGAGACAGAGGGTCCCATGAGAACAGGAAGCCCCACACAAAGGGCATGCATCTGCTGAGGAGAGAGCTGCGGGGGGGGACACAAGTGCCGGGGTGTTTCACCCACGACAGTGGGTCAGACCCTTGTCCTCATGAGTAATGTCCTCACCCGCTTCACTGGGAAAGCTTGTGGGAGTAAGCATTCCTCATGGGAGCAAACGCAGTAGGATCAATCCTTTGTTGTGCACCTCAATCCTGAACATTTCCTTAGTCAATAGCCAGTCAGAAATTACACACACACACACACACACACACACACGAACTATCCCTACAGATAAAGACTGCAGGCAGTCACAGACCAGAGCAGCGGGAGAGGTCTCTACCCCCATGGAGTTAACACCGTCATATTCATGACCGTAGGGAATTCCCTTTGAAAAGAAAACTCAGCTGGTTTCCAGAAGCTCAGCCCCACGTTGGCTGGAAAGTGGCATGGAGGCTCCCTAAAGTCTGATATATCTCGTGCGAGTCTTATTTATGTAGGAAACTGGACCTACCCCGGGCCCTATCGCCCTGCTACCCAATAACAGCACTGAGGTGAAAAAATCTCAGGTCCTTTTCCAGGCGGGGACATCTGGCCTTGCAAGGCACTGAAGAAACCGGCATTGGGAAGGTTGGGTGCAGAGGGAGACGCTTCCCTCATGCAGGAAGTGAATTTGTCTTGCCGCGCGCACCGCATCTCTCTGCTTTGTGACTGCTTGGCCGCCCCCGGCCGGTCCCGCACCTCTGCTCGCACGTGGCGTATCCGAGTCTGTTGCGCTGTCTCTCACAGCGCCCTGTCTAATGGTTTAGGCACGCTTCATCTCCTGTTACAGCTTATTTGCTTTGGTCTGAAATCCACTTCTCCCAACACCACACTACGCTGGGTCTGTTCACAATGAGCCCCACACCCACAGGGCTCAGGGGGGTAACATTGGGGGAAAACAATCCATCTATTTTCATAGCACAGTGCAGCCCCCAGGAGCAACGTCATGTTGGAAGGACAAACATGAGGCAAGTCGCCTGGCTTCCCAGTTTCCGGGAGATTAATAAACACCCTCCTTACAAACACAGCACTGGGGCCTGGAGTCAATAGCTGCCCTGATTATTTTGTTTAGAGGGGCAATTGGGGATAGGCTGCAGCTAGTTACAAAAAAAGACTGTCCCTCTCCAGTCGTGGGAGGTGAAATGCCTCTTCCCTACTCCGAGTGCTTGTCCTTCAACAGGTAGGATCTGTGGGGCAGGGCCTGAAGAGCCCTGGGACAAACCTGAAATTTGACCATTGGCTCAATAAGGCCAG